TCCGGTCTTTCTTGACGCATTACGTTATTCTAAAATACAAAAGAAAAAAAAAATGAAGATACATGAATACAAAAGTTGAAAGCGGAAAATCGAACTTTAAAAAACATACCTTGGCCGTTCTAATGCTTAAAATCCAATTGTTCATCGAATCCAAATCTTCGGCGCACAAGAAACGCACGTAATCGTTCTCGGGATTTTCAAACATGGTAATCTTGTCTTGAGACTTCAGTGCAAATGGAAACTTTGTCTTCGATTTTTTTAAATGTTTGGTACACGCGTACACATCGAAGCTTGACAGTGAACAAAGAAAGGCTTCATCTTTTCCCTGAAAATATTGATATTTGAACGAAATAAGAATAAATGAATAAAATATATAATATAATAATATAAACACTGATTATATACTTTTTCGTCTTTGCTATGATACAAGGATCCATCCTTTATGTGAAAGTAACGTTTATTCCACTTGTTTTTTTTTGTTTCAATGTATAAGAAGCCAATCATCGGTGGCGCCGCAGTATTAAAGCCCTATAGGTCAAAGAAGTTCATGACGAAGTGATGAGGTACTGTTAAACAATCATCAGTTAAAGTTGCAAAAAAAAAAAAAAAAAAATACTAACATCTAAAGTGAGAGAGCTTCTATACGGATACTTCTTCAACACTAGAGAGTTATCTCTACCTAACTCCCACGTCCCGATAACTTTTGATACACACTCCCAATCTCTCAACGGTCGTTCTATTTAAGTTTAAGGAATAGATTGGATCGTTGATCTTTAGAATCAATGATCAACTAAATTAAACATGAATGTAAACATTAATTACCCAAGTCCAACTCGTTGATGAATTCGAACAATGTCCAAGCATTAGAATCTGATATTGTATCATTGTTACGGAAGAAGTTTAAAACATCCAAGGCTGTCATGCTCGATGATAGTTGTATTGCTTTGAATTCACGGGCTTCTTCGAGATATATTTTGGTCGTAAGCTAAAAAAAGAAAATGCATTTCTCAGAATCAGAAAATTTTAAAAAATACGCAAATGAAATAGAATTCGAATAAAATGCCACTCGTACCAAAACCTCTGTGATCTGATGTTCCGATTTCTCGTGATGTGTCTCGTGTTTCGTCTGCGAGGGTAACCATATTTATGATCAAAATTTAATATTAATGTCGTGCTCATAAACTAAATAAATTTATTTACCGTTTCGCGCCTAACCAAAGTGCTCTTTTCCTTCTCCTTTTCCTTTTCCTCCATCAGCAGCTCATATTCTTTATCACGTGTTCTAGATCGGGCTCTTTCGTCGTAATCTCTCGTCCTAGATTTTCCGCGACCTCTTTCCTCTGATTCTCGGGTCCTAGATTTTCCGCGTCCTCTTTCCTCTGATTCTCGGGTCCTGGATTTTCCGCGTCCTCTTTCTTCCGGTTCCCGGGTCCTGGATTTCCCACGTCCTCTTTCTTCTGGTTCTCGAGGCCTAGATTTGGCACGCCCTCGTTCCTCATTATCACAATTACTTGATTTTCCTCGGCCACGTTCTTCCTCCTCCCGGTCGACACTTTTGACATTTGGGTTTCTACCTCGTTCCTCAAAATTGTCTTTTTCCCGTGAACGTGAATTTTTGTCTTTTTCTGTCGACTTTTCAGATTCCTTATCGCTCGGCTTCGACCTTGAGTGATCGGGTTCTCTCGTTCTGGATTTTGTTCTCGACTTATCTTCCTTTACCTTCTCCTCAGACCTTTCTTTTATTCTGTCACTCAAAACCTTTTCTTTTGTTCTCTCTTCCGGGGCTCTTCCTTTTTCTTCTGGAATCTTATCCTCCCTTGGTCTATCCTCCTGATTCTTTTCCCTTATTCTTTCATTTTTCATCTTATCATCTGTATTTTTCTCTCGAGTCTTATCTTCAGTGTTTCTTTCCCTTGTTTTCTCATCCGTCTGCTTATCATCCGAGTCTCTTTCTCCTAACCTATCATTTGAAACCTTCTCTCTAACCCTGAGTCTGTTCTCCGGAATTTTCTCCCTGAGCTTTTCTCTGGAGGATTTTTCTCTTTCCAATTTATCCTCCGGTATTCTTTCCCTGATTCCTCTCTCCTCTTGCCCTCTATCCTTGGTCCCCCTGTCTTCTGGCACAACTCTCTCTCTGACACCCCCTCCTCTGTCCTCTGGTACTCTTTCCCTGTTTCTGCCCCTATCATCTGTTATTCTTTCTCTGGCTCCCCTATCCTCAGGTATTCTTTCACCCGTTCTGCGTAGCGATCTCCTTTCGGGAGATCTTAAAACGTCTGGATCGTATGATTGTTCGTGATTGCGGGGTCTCCTTCTCTCACGGGACCGAGCTCTTATCGGTCTTTCCCGGTAATCATCGGCGTCCCTCTCTCGTGATCTCGAATGGCCACGATTCCTGTCGTTGTGTTCTCTCTCTCGAGTTCTTCCCGACCTATCCCGTGCATCCTCATGCTCTCTTTCTCTAGATCTCGAACGCCTGTGGTTCCTTTCCTTTTGTTCAGCAGCAGATCTGGAGTATCTTGGTTCACTTTCT